CCGCCTGCCCCAGTGAGGCTGTTCCGCCCAGGGCTCGAGGGAGCCCTGGGCTCTTTCGGCTTTGCCAGCGCTGCCGAAGCTCAGGAGTGTGGCAGGGCTGCCAGAGTGGCCAGGATCGTGGACCCCAGACCCGTGATCGGGCAGAGCGCGGAGTGACGGTGGCCGTGCTTCGGGGTTTGGTCCTGGCGGGCTGCGGGTCCGCGCAAGCACTGTTTGCTGGGCCGTAAGTCGGCCTCGGAATTTGTTGTTGCATGACAAAGCCCCAGGGTGATAGGATAAAACAAAAAAAAATGCCCACGCCGTAAGTCAAGCCCGCAGCGACTTCACGCGTCAGCGGCCATAGCAGTTGCAACCGCACCTCCCTCGCGTCCCCTGCGAGGGAGGAGGAAGAGAACGAGGAGGAGGAGGAGGAGGAGGACGAGGAGGACCAGTGTAAACCCAAGGTGCATCAACGGTGTTGCGGGAGTGTCCCATCAGAAGACAATCGTTTCGAATCCACAATCGTGCTAACACACAGTTCCTACGACTCCAGTGCCGCGGATCAACGTGACTGTTGCGTCCTGAAAATTCAATTCTGTCAGAACATGATCCCTAGGATTCCAACACTGCGAATGACTGTGACCGTGGCGCCCTGACAGTTCCAAATCGTGCCAGATCGCCACTTCTGTGACTTTTACCAGACGAGCCCTTGAAGCTGTTGCAGGAGTTGTTCATGCATGCTCCTGGCGCTGAAGCGAGAGCATCACTTTGGACATTTCCGGCCCTCCATCCAAGAGTCTGTTGCCAATGTTCGAGCTTCAGCACCATACATGGCAATTCGTCTCACGCGAAATGCCCCACCCGCCCTACGGACACGTCTGGGGATGCGAATTGTTTGTCGGAGGTGAGGGGGTAAGATCGAAGTTGAACGGAGAGCGCCCCACCGGGAGATCGGTTTCGGTTTCGGGTTCGTGTCGTGCGTGCGGACGAGGCGAAGATGCGTGGACGGGCGAAAGAGACGAACATTCTTCTGGCCAGGACGCGACGAGGACAGAAGTCCAGTCCCCCGGCCACGTGGCGGATGGGTGCCGGGAGATTCCCGCCATGGAGTCTTGGTGGTGTCCAGATGACGTCACGTGGTGTCTCGATGGTGTCCCGTGGTGTCCCGCGATGTCTCGATTTGTGACCCGTTGGTGTCCAGGTGGTGAGTCGATGGTGTCCCGTGGTGTCCCGCCGTGGTGTCCCGCGGGTGTTCCGTGGTGTCCCGTGGTGTCCCGCGGTATCCCGTGGTGTCTTGTGATGGTGTCCCGTGGTGTCTTGTGGTGTCCCGTGGGGTCCGGCGGTTTCCCGCGGTGTCCCGCCATGTTGTCCCGATGGTGTCCCGTGGTGTCCCGTGGTGTCCCGTGGTGTCCCGTGGTGTCCCGTGGTGTTCCGCGGTGTCCCACGGTTTCCCGTGGTCTCCCTTGGTTTCCCGTGAGATCGATAGTGAGATTTATAGTGACATCGATAGTGGGATCGATAGTGATATTGATTGTGAGACTGGTACTGCAGGTGATTGTGACATTGGTAGTGAGTTCGATTTTGATACCGATCGCGATATCGACAGTGAGATCGATAGTGAGATTGGTAGTTAGATCGATCGTGGGAGCGATAGTGATCTCGACAGTATGACCATTAGAGGTCGATTGTCAGGTCGATTGTTAGATAGAATTTGAGGGATAGTAAGATCGATTGTGAGAATGACAGTGAAATCGATCGTGCCATCGCTAGTGAGATCGAAATTCGTGACATCAGTAGTGATGTCGATAGCGAGGTCGATTGAGTGAGACGCTGTGTCCCCCCGGGATTCCTTACAACCCGAAGGTTGGGATCATAGGTAAGGCAAAGGGATGAAGGAGATGGAGGTGGAGGAGGACGCGCGCCAGAGTAGACCAAGGATGCATCATCGATGCTGCAAAACATCCAACACCTCAAGCCTGTTCCTCACAAGGCCCTGCAACACACACAATTTCTTCTTTCTTCACGTTTTGCACATCCCCACCAGTCCATTCACAAACCCTGCCCATGAGAGTTGACAGGCAAAAGGACTACGACATGGAGTGAAACAACTTGGGCAACCAGAGCGAAAAAAGAAATCTCTTGGAGCAAAGTGGGAGGGACTGGGAGGGCCTCTTCGGGCCATCCCTGGGGGGCGCGTGGTAGCGAGGGAAGGAGAAGAAGTAGGAGGAGAAGGAGGAGGAAGGCGACGATAACAACGATAACCACGACGACGAGGAGAAGCAGGAAAAGGAACAGGAAGATGATGAGGGATGAGGGCAAGGACGAGGACGAGGAGGATGAGGAGGAGGAGGACAACGAAGATGAGGACAAGGCTCTCAATATCGCCTCTTGGAGCCCTCTTGGGATTCTTTTGGGGGGTCTTGGCGTCCTCTTTGGGCGCGTTTGGGGGGTCTTTGGGCCCTCTTGGAGCCCTGTTTGGGGGGGCCCTTGACAGCCCTAGAGGTTCTCTTGGGGCCATTTTGTTGGCCATCGATAGAAGGAGGTGGGCCCCATGTTCCTCCCCCCCTGAGGCCATCGACATCGCCTCTTGGAGACCGCTTGGGGCGCTTTTGGGCCACTCTTGGGCGCTTTGGTCTGGGGGGCCTCTTGGGCCCCTCTTGGGTCCCTCTTTGGCCGTCTTGGAGCCATCTTGAGGCCTCAACAGCGCATCGGAAGCGAAACGGCGAGAAGGCAATAGTCATTGATGTTCCTAAGGATGTTGATGGATTCTGCTCTTGAGGGGTCCTGACGGGGTTTCCAGGGCACTTGATACAGTCTTTTGGTCCTCGCCAGGCCTCTTGGGGGTGTTTCGGAAGCTATCTTGAACCACAGTCGCTATCTTGAGCCATCTTGGAGGTCATCTTGGAGCATCGGAGGCTCTCTTAAGCCATCTTTGGTCATTTTGGACGCTCAAACCATTCGCGGCCAGCCTTGACAAACCGCAGGGAAGAGGGGGGGACACCTCCTGGAAGGTAAGATGTTTCTTGGCAGAGAGAAGACAGAACTCGTTAGACCATCTTAGCCCAAAGGGCTTTCGGGACTTGTTCGCTCCTGGGAGCGCCTTCGTGAAATGTGACTGTTCCACGGGCCTGTCCGGCGAGATCCCCGTTGTGAAAAGGGGCCGCCATCCATCCGTCCATCTTTGCACCCGGTTCGAACTCCGATCATAAAGTTCAGGTGCCTGTCAAGGAACAGTTCCGTTTTGCCACCGATCTTTTATCCTCGCAGTTATTGCATCCCGGTCTGTTTTCTCGCCGATTCGTTGCATTCGTTCATCGTTGAGTGTTCTTATGTGCTAAGCGTCAGGCTTCTTTCAACCGTCTCCACAGCAATACGCTGAAACATAGATATCGGAGATCAGGGGGTGAGATCGCAGTGAAATGGAGAGCCTTCACTGGGAAACCGGTTTCGGTTTCGCATTGTGCGTGCAGGCAAGGCAAAGCTGTATGGGTGGGCGAGAGGAATGATCCCGCCCTGGCTATGGCAGAACTGGGCTCAATGTCTCGCCTCCCCCCTGTTGGCCGGCGGTGGCCTGGGGGTGGCCCGCCGGTGTCCCTTGGTGCTACGTGGTATTCCGTGGTGTCCTGTGGCTCGGTGTCCCGCGGTGCCCTGTGGTGTCCCGTGCAGGTGGATAGTGAGACCGATAGTGAGATCGATTGCGAGATCGATTGAGCGAGATCGATAGTGATATTGGTAGTGTGACCGATAGCGAGATCGATAGTGAGATCGATCGTGAAATCGCTAGTGATATTGATAGTGAGATCAGTAGTGAGGTCGATTGTGAGATCGACAGACATTGAGACCCACAGAGGGAGACCAATAGTGAGATCGATAGTGGGATCGATCATACGACTCATAGGAGGACTGAGGTCGATATTGATAGTGCGGCAGATCGACAAAATGAAAGTGGGATTGATTGCGAAGTGGATTGCGATGTCGATAGATAATGACTGACGACAGACTCCTCCGCCAGGGCAGGCGGTCAGGAACGTGTCCAGAGGAGAGCGGGAGATGTCACGGAGCATTTGGGAGGGGGCAGCGTTCCTAGATCTCCGACGAGATGATGCTTCAACCGGGCGTATGTTCGGGACCCGGAAGCATCAAACACGGATGCGGGACGAACAAGTACCCTCAGAGAAGCTGTCGGGACTTGGGGTCGGGGATGGGAACATCAACATATCGGAGGATGTCAGGAGCGATATCGTAGTACGACATACGGTGCGCCAAGGCGAGAACGCCAGCGGAGAAGCACGCACACATACACAAACGGCATACGACAAGACTTGGTGGGATTGGTGACCATGAGCAGTGCTATCAGTGGAGACTTTGCTCCCTCGCCCTCCCAGCCGCCCTCGATCCCGCCTCGCCGCCTTTCAGGATAGCCCAGAACCCAGAACCTGAAGTGGCACTGGCCGCTCTTCCTCCTTTGGCCCACCTGCTCAGGGCGTAATCGGGGCCGCCTCCCCTGAGATCCGACGTTGCGACAAAAATAGCAGCATTGCGAAACATCACGACCACACCTCTAGGCCCACCTGTCTGCGGCTGGCCTCTCTCGGGCTTGATCGATCAGTGATGGTCCCAGGGCCCGGCACCTGCCGAAAAGCCCAGTGCGAACAAGAAGTGCAACGCCCGAGTCTCCGGGGTCTGCTCGGGGCCGCCTCCCTGCCGCTCGAGTCTCCCCGAGTCTGCTCGGGCCCCGACACGCCTGGCGAAGAAGCTCAATGCGAAACAGCTGGTACCTGCTGGGGGTCTGCTCGGGACCGCTTCCCTGCCGCGCTAGGTGGGTCGGAGGATCGCCCCACATCGCCGATGCATCGACGATGCGGCTCGATGTGGAGCCAGAAGCTCTCTACGCCGGCGGCGCCGATGCGTCGCCGACGTCGCCGATGCCTCGGCGATGCGGCGCGATCCTCGGACTCCCTCCTGGAGGCCTCTGGCCGCAGCGGCAGCGCAGGGGGGCTGCGAGGGGCCCGCGGCGCCAGGCCGCAACGCCTTCCTGCTCCGCGACCTGTGGCGCTGCCTGGAGCTGGTCCGCGGCCACGAGCGGAGCCAGAGCGTCTGGCGCCCTTGCCCCCGGCTCGTGGGGCACCCGCGGGCTGTGGGCCGGGCGGCCAGGGCGAGGGCGGTCGGGGCTCCGAGGCTGCAGGCCACCGGTGCCGTAGTGTGAGCTTCGGAATAATCGGGGGAGCGTAAGACCCGGGTTTGCCGGGACTCGGGTTCGCCATCGTTTTTTGACGACCGCGACTCGGATTTTGACGAGGAGGAGTTTTGTGGGATGTCTGCAGCGGGAGGCCTCGTCAAAATGCAGGCTCGGCCTCGTCATTTTTTTGACGACCTCGTCGGGGATTTCCGAGTCCCCCGTACCCGGGTCTTACGTCTCCCCGAAATAAAAGCGTGGGGGGTACTCCAGATTTCGTAACAAAGGGGAGGGGGGTCTCATTTCGGGGGGGGGTCTCTTCCGAGCTATCTTGGAGGGCCTGGGGGGGTCTGGGGACGATGTTTTGGAGGGTTCTCCCACGGGGGGGGGGGTCTAAAACTTCTCGTCTGGGAGGCTTGAGACCCCCTCCCTTTTATTACGAAATCTGGAGTACCCTCCCGACGGGGGTCAACCTCGGGTCGTCGTCGCGCCGCGACGGGGGTCGGAGCGCCTTCGGCGCGCGGCGGCTGCCCGCGACGGGGGTCGATGTGGGGCCGTCGGCGGGGGTGACGCCCAGCCGACGCTTCGTAAGGAGCTCGGAGCACCCTTGCCCCTTGCCTCGTCTGCGCCTGTGTGTGGGCCTTCTGGGAGGCCTTCGTCGGCAAGGCCTGGATTCGCCTCGAAAGTCTGGTCTGCACGTTCCCCAGGAGAGGCCTGGGTGGAGCAGCGCGTCTCCCGGAGCGAAGCGCAAGCCCGGCCTCGAGAACGACTCCGTGCAGCGCAGGGCAGTGTTCCGCGCACCAGATGGTGTCAGGAGGGAACCAAAAACACTTGTTTGATCCGCGGGTCGAGAGCGAGCCTCTTCCGGTCGAAGCTAAGCGGGCCAGAGGGAAGCAAAAACACGCACACACACACACATACACAATTCATCCCGTCGATTCCATGGGAAAAACATGGGAAATATCGGAAGTGGGGGGAAGAGAAAAACCCAGAACAAATGGGACAATATTGGGAATCCTGGGATTTGTGTGTATTTATTTGCGTGTCCCAGGGCCCCTTCAAACTCGTGCTGACAGCGAGGGGCAGGGATCGAGTGCGAGGGAGACAGCCACAGGAGCCGATGCACGCGCCCATCTCGGAGGGCGCGATGGGGGTCGAGCTGCGGAGGAGTCGCGCGCTCTGTGTGGCGAGGTGGGATGGGGGCGGCGGCGAGCCCGATCTGCCCCATCGGAGGCCTCGGGCGGCGCTCCCCGTGGGGCAGGAGCCTTGCGAGGGGGGGGGGGGCAAGCCAGGTGCGCTCGCGTCATATCTGACGTCCTACCCCACCCTCCCATCCCTTACCATGGCGCTGATTTCTCTATCCGCGGACGCGTGTCGTAGCGGACCTGTGGCCTCGCGCGCGCGTGCGTAGTGGGTGGTGGTGCGCGTGCGTGGGGGGGGGGGGAGGGGGCGCCATGAGGGGTGGGGTGCTGCATGCGGGCGCTCCCCTCCTGGGGCCACCGGTGGAGCTCCTCATGGGATGCGTCCCGCGTGGGGAGCGTGCAGGCACGGGCGGGGGCCCGCATGCAGGCCCCCGCCCCGGGGCCGCAGGTGGAGCTCCTTGCAGGGTTGAAGCCCGTGCGAGGGGTGTGCTCAAACGAGCGGTGGTCCGTAGTGGAGCTCGCTGTGGTTCACGTTCCACGTTCATCATCATCATCATCATCATCATCATCATCATCATCATCATCATCATCATCATCATCATCACCATCATCATCATCATCATCATCATCGTGGTTCACGTTCCACGTGGCTGGTGCGTCGAAGCGTGCGGAGGCCTCGTGTGCACCCCTCCGCCGTGGCCACAGGAGGGGGAGCTTCCTGGGCACGACCCGTGCGCAAGGAGTGCCAACGTACTCGGAGGCCAAAACTTGGGTGAGCTCCCCGTGGAGCCCGATCCGCGTGAGGGTGTGTGCCAGAATGGCCAGTGGTTCGCACGCGAGCTCCCCTATCGGGGCCTGTAAGGCTTCTGGTTGCGCGCAGGCGTCCCCACCTGGTAGTCCCGGCTGACCGCAACAGGCCCCTCCCTCCGACGGCGCCCTTGCTGCGCTCTGCGCCCAGGGCTGGGGCGTCGAGACCGCCCTGGATTATTCGGGGGGCCTGCTCAGGGCAGCCAGGCCCGTTGTCTTGGCGCAACCCGAAGCCTTACCGCTGGGGACATGAGCGACAAGCCGCCTACAGTGGGCCACGATCCCCGAGAAGGGTGTGCTGACAATGGCGGTCGCCCGCATGCGAATACCCGCACTGGGGCCAATGATGAATTTTTGTGAGGCACGATCCATGTAGGTGGCGTCCTCCAATGAGCGGAGGCAGGCTCCCGGATGTCCCCAGTGGCGCCACAGACAGAGCTCGCTATGGGGCACGATCCGAATGAGGGGCGTACCGAAGTTGGCAGTGGCCTGCATGCGAGCCCCCCCGCTGGGGCCATACATTCCCCGAGTGGCGCCATAGGTGGAGCTCTCTGATGTAGCACGCACCATCCGTGCGATGGTTGAATGAATTGTTGACGCTTCGCGTATCCCCACCAGCCCATCCAGAAACGATGCTCAGGGGAGTTGAGGTGATCAGGGAAGTCGGGGAGCATGCAGAATAACAAAGGGCGGGGGAAGCTGTCACAGACCCCGAGAGGGGGAGGATGGAAGAGGAGTCGTCGTCGTCGTCGTCGTCGTCGTCGGAGGAGGAGGAGGAGGGGGAAGAGGAGGAGGAGGAGGAGGAGGAGGAGGACGGAGAAGGAGGAAGAATCGGAGGAGGAGGAGGAGGAGGGGAAGGAGCTTCTTGGGGGTCTTTTGAGGGCCTCTTGGAGGGCTTTTTGGGCGCCTTGGGGCATCTTGGGCGCCTCTTGGGACCCTCTTGAGGCGCTCTGGGGAGCCTTCGGGGCGCTTTTGGGGCCATCTTGGAGGGAGTCGATCAAACAAGAGGGGGGGTTTAATTAGCGCCCCCCCTCGGAAGCCCCTAAAATCGCCTCTTGGACCCCTCTTGGAACGCTCTTGGAGTGCTCTTGGGCGCTCTTGGGGCCGTCTTGGGGCTCTTTTGGGGCTCTCTTGGGGCCCTCTTGGGCCATCTTGGAGCCATCTCCAGGCCTCGGATGGCCATCGGAAGCGAAAAGGCGAGAAAGCAAAAATCATTGATTTTCCTTAGGTTTTGGGACGATTTTGGCCTCTTCGGGGCCTCCTTGGGGAGCTGTTTGGCCACTTGGAGTTATCTTGGGGCCGTCTTTGGGCTTCTTGGAACCATCTTAGGAGCCATCGTGAGCGATCTTGCGCTATCTTGAGCCATCTTGGAGCTCATCTTGGGTTCTCTGAGGCGCTCTTGGAGCCGTCTTGGGCCATCTTGGACGCTCTAACTACCCGCGGCCCCCCCCGTCCAGGTCCAGGGGAGGGGGTAGGGGGAGGGGTAAACCCCTCCCCAAGGGGGAAGAGGGAGGGGTGGAAGAGGATCTGTTCTAGACCACCTACGCCCAGAGGGCTGGTGGGATTCCCCCGATCCGTGTGAGGTGGTTACCGGAAATGAGCGTAGGTTCGCATGCGAGCTCTCCCAGCGGTGCCTGGCCATAGGCTGAGCTGGCCAGAGGTGGAGCTCGCCCGGGGGGCACGATCTGTGTGAGGGGTGTGCCGAGAATGGCGAGGCAGCGCAGGCAGCACAGCAGCATCGGAAGGAATGGGAGGCGGGAAGGGGGGAGGGGGAATGCGTGAGTGAGGGAGTGAGGGAGTGAGGGAGTGAGTGAGGTCGACGAAGACGACGACGACGAGGATGCCGACGACGTGGCCGACGACGACGCCGCCGACCACGACGTCCTCGGCGCGCGCGGTGTGGCGGAAAGAAACGGTGGACTCAAGAGTGCGGGAGGGTCGGGTCCGTAGCAATTTTGGCTCAAGCCATTTTGTCTCAAGCCATTTTGGCTCAAGTGGCCATTTCGGGCCAAGAGGCTATCGTCGCTCGTTTGCCGAGCACCCCAGACCTGTGCAAACGAACCGATCGGAACAGTAGACGAATGGTGGAACGCAGATTGTTCCCCGTTGTTCCATGGTGGTTGCTCTTCATTGCTGTTGTTGTTTCGTTCGCATGCTCGTCGCGTGATGGTGCCATTCGCGCGTATATATTCGCAGCTAGTATCAGGGTCTCGCGGACCATTGCGCACCCGTTTTCATCGATGCAGAGCGAAGGAGTCCCAGGTGCTGGGTGCACAGGCCCCAGGGAGAGTGCATTGCATGGCGCGAGCCAGTATAACAGCTCAGGGTGCACTGAAGTGATTCCGCATGGTCGCAAGGTGCTTTTGTATGGCGCTATGGGTCGGCACAATTTCGGTGATATGTTGATGCCGTGGATCGTTGAAACGATGCTGCAAAGACGCTACGGTTTCTGTCCCGACGATTTCTTGCATGCTGACGTTGCAGGCGCCGATATGCGGGCGTATGGCGGTCATCTTGTCATCGGCGTTGGCTCTTTGTTCTCCAACATGTACAATGGCTCTCTCGATGTGATCTTTTGTGGAGGGGAAACTCTCCATGACTTGTCGCTCAATAGTGCGCTGAGTTATTTCGGACGTGGTTTCAAAGCTTGCAATCGGGACGACTTCATGCACAGAGGCCACAGTCTGTCCTACTTGCTGCCCAAGGACAAGTTTGCCAAACCTGGCTTGTTCATCGCCAACACAGTTGGAGGTCCAGGCACCTCAAGAATCAATCATAGCTGGTTTGACCATTGCACGCTCCGCCAAAATCTTCATCGGGCTGGCTACGAAGACTGCCTGGCGGCCCCAGACAGCGTGATCATGATCAACATTTTGTTTGGCGAATCCATATCTCTTCGCACAAAAGCCTACCAATGGGGAGATATTTCGCTTGGCAGTTCAACACGGGAGTTCACTTTGACGATGGATTCGTTG